ACTCAGGGTCTTTCATACCAATTTCAGTATTATTTGTTCTAGCTCTGTGAAAGATGCTGTTGGTATTTTGATAGGGAATCCACTGAATCCATGGATTACTTTGGGTAGTATGGACACTATCAGTATTTGTTCTTTCAATCCATGAGCATGGGATATCTTTCCATTTGCTTATGTCATCTTCAGTTTCTTTCATCAGTGTATTATAGTTTTCAGAGTACAGGTCTTTCACCTCCTTGGTTAAGTTTATTCCTTGGTATTTTATTATTTTTGGTGCAATTGTAAATGGGATGGTTTTCTTCATTTCTTTCTGCTACTTCATTATTAGTGTATAGAAATGCAACAGATTTCCATACATTAATTTTGTATCCTGAAACTTTATTTAATTCACTTATCAGTTCTACTGGTTTTTGGTGGAGTCTTTATGGTTTTCTACATATAATGTCATCCACAAATAGTGAAAAGTTTTACTTTTTCCTTACAAAATTTGGATGCCTTTTATTTGTTGTCTTGTGTGATTGCTGTGGCTAGAACTTCCAGCACTATGTTGAATAAAAGTGGTGAGAGTGGACATCCTTGTCTTGTTCCTGATCTTAAAGGAAAAGCTCTCAGTTTTTCACCACTGAGTACGATGTTAGCTTTGGGTTTTTCATATATGGTTTTTATTATGTTGAGATATCCTCTGTCTAAACCTCCTTTGTTGAGAGTTTTTATTATGAATAATGATAATATGATAAATACATTTCATTCTTACTTCATTCAATATGCAGAAAGAATTGGGTGGCCATTTTCAGTTACTGCAACATATTTTATATCAGAGGATGCCAAAAATATGAAGAGTCCAAAGAAACAATCATTTACATAGTAAGCAATTGTAAAAGCACTCACTCTTTCCCTTCTGCACACTTAGAATGTGACCTTTCTTTCCCCTTTCCCAATAGTTTCTTGGCTCATGCATTAGGAAGGAATGACATGCAGAAAGCAGAGGAAACTCCCTTGTCATTGTAATCAGCCATTGTCAAAGAGTTCAAAGATATTTTAGGAAGAGATTTTTTCCCAACAGCAGATAAAAAGGATCCTTTTCAAAGGATATAGTTAGTTGTATTGGGTCAAGATTTCCTTAAGGAAAAAAATTCTGGAACCTCAACAAGATAGAGAATTGTCATCATGTCAAGAGTTCAGTTCTAAATTTTAGAAATCTGAATTTTTCTTGCTATATAATAGCAGGGAAGTAGGCCTGGCCTTATAATTATCATAAGAAAAATATTAAAGCACTAAATATGTTAAATACAGAATCAAAAGTTTTACGTATAAATTATAAATAAGCAAATAATACAACTTATGTTTTGATAATATTTGATGACATAGGCCTCCTTTATCTGTGATTTTTTTTTTCAATAAAATTAAGTTTGGAAATGACAGAGGGCCCTGATTCACCCAACTATGAAGATCTTAGAGAATGTGGGTTTAAATATTAGAAGAAAAATACAAAGAAGGAAAAGATGTTGATATCTCAATACAGAAGAGTTAAAAGAAAAACTAGAATATCTTTAAATTTGCATGATGTTTATAAATGACTATTTTCACATAGCCAACTTCATTTTTTTATTTTTATTTTTTTAAAGATTTTATTTATTTACCTATTTATTTAGAGAGAGAGTGTGTGGGAGTTGGAGGAGGGGCACAGGGAGAGGCAGAAAGAGAATCTCAAGCAGACTCCCCACTGAGCATGGAGCCTGACACAGGGCTCAGACCCATGACCCTGAGATCATGACCTGAGCCAAAAATCAAGAGTCTGACACTAAGCCAACTGAGCCACCCAGGTGCCCCCATTTCATCTTTAGAACAATTCTGTATCTCCATTTCACTGAAGAGAAAACAGGCTAGGAGGTAAAGTCATAGAGCTACTAAGTGGAAGATCCAGGAAAAATAGGTGGTCCTCTATACAGGGTGAATTTCAGGGGATCTGCAGGAAGGTAACTCTTAACTACTAACATTCTACCCTTCACCACCCTCTAGATTCTATCAGGAGCCATCCCACCATCATAACTCTTACGCATGCCAAATGTTAAACATAAGTCAAAGGAAGAAACAATCTTTGTAATTCCTAACGAGCACATTTTTCCCAAGCTTTATCTTCACAAGGGTTGTAACTAGGGACTTCTGAGGAAGATGGCAGAATAGGAAGATCTTAAGCTCACCTCATCCCATGGATACAACTAGATAACACCCCATCAGTGTAAATAACCCAGAAAATGACCCAAAGACTTGCAGAACAGACTCTCCACAGATAAATGTAGAGAAGAGGCCACACTGAAGAGGGTAGGAAGGGTGAAAAGGTAGTTGGGGGCTGCCTATGCAGACAGACCTATGGGACCGTCCACGGGAGGGAGGGACCTGCAGGCTTGGAGAGGGAAGAGGAATAGACTATCACACCAAGTACCCCAAGTATGGGGAACTCACACAGGTAAGATGAATTCCCATAACATTTGGCTTTGAAAACCAGAGGGGGATAATTTTATGAGTTCTTATAATGAACAGGGCTGAACAGGTGGAACTTTAAAAATCAGCAGGCTTGACTCTGAGAGAGCTAGGAAGGCAAGAAGAAACAGTCTCTGCCCTTAAAGAGATAGTACAACAAACAGCCCCATGGAGATACAGCATAGAAGCAGCAGTTTGAAAAATGCCTGGGGTATACGGGAGGGAAATTTGTTCACTAATCTCAGAGTATGTGCTGGAGGGACAGGAATCGTTGGCAGACTTCTCCAGGAACAAAGGAGCTGGTGTGTGCCCTTTCCCTGCCTCGCACCCCCCAGGTCTGTTTAGCTCACTGATCTAACTCAACTCAAGCCCAAGGCGGCCCCAGATTTGCCTATTAACAATGCAGGGACCAAATCCTGCCCACAACAGACAAAGAGCCATTGCAGACAAATGGCCTAAGGCAAAAGCAGCTCAGCCACCATAGCAGGGTACATACAACACATATAAGGTGACACCCCTGAAGCGCCAGGTCTGGTGAACAGGGGACGCTGCACTGCAGGGCACTAGAGAAACTCTTCTTCATAAGGCCACTACTTACAAGATCAGGAGACATAGCTTACTTTCCTAACACATAGAAACAGACACAGAGGGTGCCTGGGTGGCTCAGTTGGTTAAGTGACTGCCTTCGGCTCACATGATCCCGGAGTCCTGGGATCGAGTCCCACATCGGGCTCCCGGCTCAGTGGGGAGCCTGCTTCTCCCTCTGACCCTCTCCCCTCTCATGCTGTTTCTCTCTCTCTCTCTCTCTCTCAAATAAATGAATAAATAAAATCTTTAAAAAAGAAAGAAAGAAAGAAACACAGAGCTAGACAAAATGAGTCAGAGGAACATGTTCTAAATGAAAGAACAAAAGCATAGCAAGAGACCTAAATGAAACAGATAAGAAATTCTCTATCAGGCATGATATTTATTTATTTATTTTTAAAGATTTTATTTATTTACCTGAAAGAGAGTGAGAGAGAGAGAGAGAGCATAAGAGGGTCAGAGGGCGAAGCAGTCTCCCTGCTGAGCAGAGAGCCCGATGCAGGGCTCGATCCCAGGACTCCAGGATCATGATCTAGGCCGAAGGCAGATGCTTAATGCACTGAGCCACCCAAGTGCCCCACCTGATAGAGAATTTAAAGTAACAGTCATAAAGATACTCACTGGATTGGAGAAAAGAGGGGAGGACCTCAGTGAAACTCCTAACAAAGAAATATAAAACATAAAAAAGAATGAATCAGAGATGAACAACTCAGTAACTAAAGGTAAAAATGCACTAGATGGAATAAATAGTACACTAGAAGAAACAGAAGAACAGATCAGCAACCTGGAGGACAGAGTACTGGAGAGCAATCAAGCTGAACAGGAGAGAGGGAAAAACAAATAAAAAATGAAAACAGACTTAAGGAACTAAGTAACACCATCAAGCATAACATTTGCATTATAGGGGTCCCAGAAGGAGGAGAGAGGGAAAATGGGGCAGAAAATGTGTTTGAAGAGATAATAGCTGAAAATTTCCTGAATGTGGGGAAGGAAATAGAAATGCAGATCCAGGAGGCACAGAGAGCCCTCAACAAAATCAACCCAAGGAGGTCCACACCAAGACACATAATAATTAAAATGGCAAAAAGTAATGATAAAGAATTTTAAAAGCAGCAATAGAAAAGAGTTACATACAAGGGAACCCCCATAAGGCTGTCAACTGATCTTCCAGCAGAAACTTTGCAGGCCAGAAGAGAGTGGCATAATAAACTCCAAGGGCTGAAAGAAAAATACCTACAGCCAAGAATACTCTATCCAGCAAGGCTATCATTCAGAATAGAAAGATAAAGAGTTTCCCACACAAAGTTACAGGAATTTATGACCACTAAACCAGCCCTACAAGAAATGTTAAAGGGGACCCTCTGAGTGGAAAGACCATAAGCAGGAATAAGAAAGGTAGTAAGCATGAAAGTAAAATTAAATGTATCTATAAAAATCAGTCAAGGGATTCATAAAATAAAAGGATGTAAAGTATGACACCATATATTTAAAATACAGCAGTGGAGAGGAGTAGGGGAGAGAAGTAAAGAATGGGTTCAAATTTAAGAGACCATCAACTTAATGTAAATTACTATATGCATAAGATGTTATATACAAACCTAATGGTAACCACAAATCAAAAACCAGTAAAGAGATATACAAGAGTTGTAACTAGGTGTCTTTTCCCAAGAAGATGGTGATGGGTGATGGTGGAAAGAGATCCATTCAAGTTCTGGGGCTCTGGGGTAGAGATCCACAATTAAAGATAAGGTGCTTCACGCTTGAAACAATCCATTCCACCACCCACCCCATCCCCAAGCACACATGATCCTCTGAACTGCTCATCAAGTACTTTGTGTACCAAACAGGCCAATGGTGAAATTTCTGCCAGGTCATCTGCAAAATTATTTGAAAGCAAAAGTGTAAAGTTAAAGAAGCAGCTAACAATACTCTTGTACCTTGAATGCTTCTCTTAAAAAAGGCCTTACATCCTTCACAAGACCAGACTCCATAGTGATATCCAGATGCGTAATCGCTGCAGACCGCACAGAAGTGAGCATCCCTCTTTGAACTTGGACTAGTAACAGGGCTGGCACAACTGCTCCCACTAACTTTCCTTTTCAGTGTCTCTCTGGGGGCAAAGAAAACATTCATTGTAAGACAGCATTAAGAGAAAAGATGGACTTTCTAGGAAAAAAAATAGCATGAACACTGCATAATTTACCTCTTTGCCCTCCAGGGCTCATGATAAATATATTCCAGGAAATCTGATCAAGCACAACCTTTGTTGCTGATATCAGATCTATGAAGAGTCACACTTTTGGGAATGACTGATGTTTGAAAGTGGTTCTGCAAGTCTATGCCCATCCATGCAGCACTGATGAGCACCAGTAACTACAGATGGCCAGCTGTAGCCATCAGGTTGCACATCTCTGAGTGTAATAAGTGACAAGAGTAAGTCTTACCTGCAGGTCTGAACCATGAGCAGGGTGTACAGTAGTCTTCCTTGGTTGCTAGAATTCATCGACACTGTATGGATGGGCCTAAATTTACCTAACCATTTTCAAGTATCAGTCATTCCCAAGTGTTGCTAAATAGCCCTTCAGAGTTCCCATTTAAATGGGGAACAAAATCTTTCATTCTGCAATGTAAGATGAAGGTCTAGAATGAAAATAACTTTAAGAGGAGTTACAAATGGACTTTAAGTTATATTGACGTGAATACGATACTCTGGTTTAGAGAGAGAGAAAGAGCAGGGAAGAGTAGGGAAGGGTAGAGAAGGGCAGGGAAGGGCAGGGAGAAGAAAAAAGAGAAAGAGAAAGGAGAAGAGAGGGGAAGAAAGTGGACACATGCCTGTCCTTAGAGAAGGTTTTGATGGAAGCAGCTGCTCAGTGCTGGGGAGAGGGGCAACAGCTCCCATAAAGGAAGGGACAGCCCATGAAGACAGCATTGGCAGACACAAAAGCACATGCGGTTAGTTCCTAATTTTGCTAGGCCATGTTTCTTTTGGAAAGGAAATGTTAGAGGTATGGTTTTAAATGAAGATAATGATACTATGGGTTAATTTACCCTAATATTAGCAGAACTCTGATTAGAGCTCATGCTCGGAAACAAAAGGTCTTTCCTTGAAGGCTGAGTGAAAAACAGTACCGTAAAAAAGTTATATACAATATTTATATTCTTTTACCAACAAAGTTTTTTAAAAAGAAAAATAAAATTACTGTGTAATATGGCTTTCTCAAAGAGTTACGACAGCATTTGAAAGCAACAAATTTCAATATCCAATACACAATGACTTAATACTTTGGTGGTTCTAGAAATTTATCTCCTCCTCATCTTTCTCCCTACACAACCTCTTCCCTCCATAGCTATAATTATCATTAAACACATTACAAATTAAATGGAAATAACCATCACGTTACCTTGCTTTTGAAGAGTACAAGTACTCTTTTGAGCTTCAAGAAATTTCAACTAAAGTCTACAATTAAGTTTCCCATCAATCTTTATCAAATGTTATTTTAGTTCACTGCTAAAAAGCTTATACCAATTACTGTCTGTCTTTTCAGGCTTTATATGTCCAGTGTATTTCATGTAAGTATTAATACTGCCACAGTCGCTTTTATCTTGGACACAATGTGTCATGAATGCTAAATTGTGATTTCACTACAAGAAGGATCTAACCTGAAAGTAAAAATTTCTTTTTCAAACCCACGTCACTTCATCAAAAGTGATTTAATTTCAATATTTAATGTCTAAAAACAACAGTCATGATAGTGAATTCTCCCCACAACCCAGACCTAAAAGCTTACTTTTTAACGAGGATTAAAATATCAGAATAGATATTCTAGAATTCAGAATATCATATGTGTTAGGTGCTCTAAGTAATCTATGTGATGAATAAAGACCTCGAATAATGCATATCTTTCTTCTCACTAAATCATAGTGATTTGAATAACACCCCTGAAGTACAATTCAGAATGAAGACTGAATTTACCTGTTTACAGGTAAGGTGGGTTCTAGTGATCTTGCTTCACACCAAGGACTCTTTTGAGGTTCTGCATACAGAAGTGACGACTGGCAATGGATCGCTAAGGGAGAGAGGTGTCCAGGAGTTGGCCACAACACATTTGGGCTTGTGGTCTGTCGACCGGGTCCACCTTCTGAGTTATTGGCACTGCTGGGAATACTGTAATTCATCACAGCAGGGTTATAGAACGTCATGGTGGAATATTCATGGTGGCTCTCTACATAGGAGGAAGGTATATATATGGGGCCGTGCTCCACGGGTAGGACAGATTGACTGCAGTTGTAGGAAGCCGGAGAGTTAAGGCTAGATGGTGAGTTTTTGATATCCATGTCTTGAACAGGTAACAGCTGAGGAAACTCTTTGTGAGAAGAGGCACAAAGGGACATTATGTTCTCAAAGACTCATGGGCAGGTATGATGGCTGTAGAGAAAAACAAAAGACATTCCTAAGTTAGAGCTACAGGCCTAACTATTCAAATGTCCAAACATATTTATTACTTACACACACACACAGCTTAGAAACACATCCTGACTCAAAAATATTAACCTCATGGAGTGTGAATGGGAGGCATGGAACTCTCATTTGCTACTTTATTCACTTCTTTATTGCTTTTGTTGTTAGCTACAAGAATTTTTTTTTAACCACAAGGATTTATTATACTTTTAAAAATTAAAAAATGCGGGATGATCTTAAAATGCCAAGGCTTTTTTTCTTCCGGAACTAGATAAGTTTAAAGTTCTTATGGAAAATTAAACAAGAATAACCAAAGAAACCTTGAAAGAGTAGGTCAGTGAGCAGGGACAGCATTAACAGATATTCAAATACATGACGAGTCACCAGTAATAAAACACAAGGCCAACGTGTCACTTATCAATTTATTGCTTCTCGCACCCTTCAATATATATAGCCTATTTGGTAAACGCTGGGCTTTGCTCTACCTGGTTAAAGTGAGCACAATGCTAAGCGTTCTCGGTAGGGGGCGCTGCAGGGACACCAAAGGAGAAAGAGGCAACTGTAATTTCTGGCGCCCGCAGAGGTCCGCAGTGTGTGGGGTGAGAGCAGCCAGGGAGTCTGGCCCCGCCACGGGTCCAGAACGGGGTCCGTCTGCAACCTTGCAGCGTCGGTGCGGGGATAACCTTTCCACGGCCACCTGTCCGAACTGTGGCCCGACGAGTCACAAAGAAGTCGTTCCTTGTACTCCTCACCTCGCGCTACCTGCACACTGTGAAGGCCTTCTGTCCCCCACCTCTCCTCACCCCGCAGGCACCTGGACTCCCAGGGCACAACCACGCCACCAGTTGCTGATCGCCTGGTCCGCCGCTGCACCCCGGAGGCAGTCCTGTTGCCTGCCAAACAACCCTAGAGCAGCTCTGGCCTGGCTAAACCAGCAAAATCTCTGCTAGTTAGTGGCCATTCCACCTTTCCCAGGGAGGTCTGAACCCCTTCCAAATTTGTCCTTCCTTGGATGCTCTCCCCCTCAGCCCTAGTTTACTTATATATTATACTTAATCTCTTATCATAGTTTTTTTTTTTTTTTTTTTTAAGATTTTATTTATTTGAGGGAGAGAGAGAGGGAGAAAGCACGAGCAGGGGGAGGAGGAGAAGCAGGCTCCCCACTGAGCAGGGAGCCGGCTGCAGGACTTGAGCTGAAGGCAGATGCCTAACCGACTGAGCCACCCAGGCGCCCCCATGGTTATTCTTTATATTAAAACTCCCCTGTTGAACCGACTGTGTAGTTTCTATCTCCTGGTTGGACCCAGACTGCTACGTAACAGAAAATCCCAAAATAGAAAATTCAAGAACTCAAAAGTTTTTTGAAATTTGGCATATGATAAAGGTGATATCTCAAATCACGGAGAAAACACTGGACAGTAGAATGGCCACTGGAAAAAGAACCTATGCCAGAATAAACTCCAAAGGGTTCAGAGATCCAAATGTTAAAAGAGAAATGGAAGGAGGAAGGAGGAAGGAGAGGGAGGGAAAAGGGGGAGGAGGTTGAGGGAGAGAGCGGGCTCTGCACAAATCCTAGAAGCAAGCTCAGATAGACTTCTTTATAACATGGGTGTGGGAAAAACCTTCCTAACTATAGCTTAAAATCCACATGCAATAAATTCAGAACAGAAAAGGAAATCTTTGCACATCATAAAAACACCATAAGCAAAGTCAAAAAAGACTAATGACAAATTGGGGGGAAAAAACACTCCCAACTCCTATGAGAAGCAAGGGCTAATTGTCCTAGTATTTAAAACTCTTAAAATGAAAAAAAGATAAAAAATTCTTTAGATAGGGACACCTGGGTGGCTCAGTCGGTTAGGTGTCTGCCTTTGGTTCAGGTCATGATCCCAGGGTCCCGGGACTGAGTCCCACATCGGGCTCCTTGCTCAGCGGGGAGTCTGCATCTCCCTCTGCCTACTGCTCCCTGCCTCCCCACCGGCTTGTGCTCTTTCTCCCTGACAAATGAATAAAATAAAATCTTTTAAAAAATTCTTTAAATAGGCAAGGCAAAAGACATAGAACACAGAAAAAGGAAGGCAAATGGCTCTTAAAACACAAAGATGATCAACCTCATTCACAAAAATTAAAACTACACCAAGATACCATTTTCTCACATTTGGCAAAAATTCAAATGTTTGACAAGAGACTTCCTTTGTGAGGCTGTGGAAAAACAGACTTTCTCTGACGTTGTTGGTGGGAGTACAAAATGGCACAATACATATCTGACATTATATAGAGATTTTATATGTGTTACCTTTGGACTATGAGTCCATAGTGAGAAAGAAAGGAAAGAAGGAAGGAAGAGAAAAAAGAAGAGAGGAAAGAAAAAAGAATCATTGGCTCCCATTGCAAGTGATTGTTACATCAGTTTCTCACTCTGAAAATTAGTAATTAAGAGAAAAGAATTAAGTCTGTATCCTGCCTTTTTGAGAGATTCTGTAGTTTATGCCATGGTTGAGGGCAAACTTCTTTACAAAAGAATGCCATCCAATAAATAGTTCAGGAAAAAAATACTTGGATGGATAAACTGGATAGTTAGAACAAATAAAAATGTTAACAATTACTGAATCTAGATGCGGACATAACAGACATTCATTATACAGTCTTTCAACTCTTCTGCAAGTTTAACATTTTTCATAAGAAGCTTTGGAGGAAAGACACAAAATACAAGAAATTACAAATGTAAACCTTCAAAAAAAAAAAAGAATAACTGGATAATATAATCTGGAAAAGGGAAGAATGCCCATTAATGACTAGACTGGTTGAGAAAGATCATTAAATAAAGAAGTTTACCTTGAGAAGTTCTCCATCTTTGATATTTTCACCTACTTCGACATGTAGGCAACTTGGCTCTCTAAATGCTCCTGATTACTTTCTCCTGACATTTTCATTTGAATGCTCATTTCAATTTGTCCTCAAAACAATATACCTACGGTGATTTTAAAATATGTCCACAAATTTTTCAACATTCCTCCCTTCAAAAGGTGGAGTCTAACCTCCCCTTGCATATGTGCTAGATTTATGACTTATTTTTAATGAATAAATTATGGCAGAAGGGATAGTATATGGCTTCCATAACTAGGTCATAAAAGGCACTGCAGTCTCTTCCTGGCTTGCTCCCTTGGGTCACTCACTCCAAGGGGAAATTAGCTGCCACATTGTGAGGACTCAAGCAGCCTTATGGAGGCCGCCTGCCAATAGCCAGCAACGAACTAGAGCCTCCAGCCAACAGCTCTGTGAGACATTTTGGAAACGGATCCTCCAGCCCCAGTCAAGCCTTCAGATGACTGCAGCCCTGGACATCTTAACTGCAACCTCATGAGAGGAGCTAAGCTGGAACCTTCCGGCTAAGCTACTCCTGGATTCCTGACCCTCAGAAAATGTGTGTGAGATACTATGTTATTTAAGCTGCTCAGTTCTATGATGATTTGCTACACAGCAGTAGATAATACAAATCCAAGGTAAAATTAATCATCTTTCTTCTCAAAACCAATCCTAATTTCCTATTTGTTAATGACAAAGTGCAATACACTTAGCTTTGACTTCTCTGCTGCATCCAATTACCTTAAATCACTACACTTTTTTTTTTTCTCCATAGTGCGTTTTCCTTGTGGTCTTTTGCCACCATCTGAGCAAGCTCTCATTACTTCTTATCTGTGCATCTGTAATAGGCCCCTTACCACCCCTTGTCTCTGGTGAGCTCCTTCTCTGGGTCTATAGAGCTGCCAGACTAACATTTTTTTTTTTAAAGATTTACTTATTTGAGAGAGAGAGAGGCGCACGTGGCACGCACGTGAGGTGGGGGGGGTGCAGAGGGAGAGAGAAGCCCAAGTAGACTCCACACTGAGCATGGAGTCTGACGCAGAGCCCAACACAGGGCTTGAGCCCATGATCCTGAGATCACGACCTGAGCTGAAACCAAGAGACAGAAGCTTTAACAACTGCACCACCCCAGGTGCCCCCAGACTAACATTCCTTTTTCTTTTTTTTTTAAAGATTTTATTTATTTATTTGATAGAGAGAGGTAGCGAGAGCAGGAACACAAGCAGGGGGAGTGGGAGAGGGAAAAGCAAGCTTCCCACTGAGCAGGGAGCCTGATGCAGGGCTCGATCCCAGGACCCTGGGATCATGACCTAAGCCGAAGGCAGATGCTTAACGACTGAGCCACTCAGGCGCCACCAGACTAACATTCTTAAAACCCAGCTCTGATCACCCCTCTAGGTCCCACCAGCCTATGTAATAAGTCACACTCTTCTAACATCCAAGGCATTCCACTCTGCTGCCCCAACCCATCGTCCCACTCTAATCTGCTATTTTCCTACAGAAGACCTGCCATGTCCATAAGGAATATACAAAGTGCATCGTGAAGTGGTTGGTGTTTTATGCCTTAGCATCCCTATAATTACTTACAAACTTAATCCTTACTAGAATAGAATTCCATTGAGTCATTCTTGTAAAAGGATAGAAGGATGATTAGATTTTAAGCTCCTTGAAGGCACACACTATTTTTATTCATCTTCTACTACAACTCAATAATTATTTGTTATAATGAAAGAATGAGGAAATGTGTTTATAAGATTTCACCCAATCAAGGGTGTTAGTCAAAGATGGGAGCACCTTCAGTAGGTACGGTACTATGTGGAGACAGGAGATCTAAAGGAGTCCCAAGACATGCACTCTGCCTTCAGAGACCTACTGTGCCAGGTAAAGGAGGCAGGACACACCAGGTAAAATGCTAAGGAACTAATACAGACATCCTACCACTTATAATCAACACTGATTGACCATGAAGGACAGGAGTGGGAATGGTAGCTGGAGAAGAACACAGCATCAAAAAAGTGTTTATATATCATTCATATACATACATGTATAATATGTAGACGCATTATATGTATTATATATACATATAATGCATCTACATTATACATTTCATATATATC